AAAAAAAAAAAAAAATCCAGAAACAAAACAAAGTCCAAGCTACCATCGAACGTGTTGCTGTGTACGTGTACAACAGCCCCCATCCTGTATCTGTCCCGGCCTGCCTCTGTATCCCCTCTCCAGTCTCTAGGATGGGGGCAGCGGGGCAGGTACCTGAGGCCAGGTGGGGCAGGTGCCAGCAGCTGGGGCAGGCGCTGGGTGAGCAGGGGCTGCAGAGCCTCCCGCAGGCGGCAGTAGTTACGCTCCAGCTCGCGGTGGTACTCCTTCTGGTCCTGCCCAATCAGGGCCTTATTTTTCCGCAGCGCATCCTCACATCTGAGGGTCAGAGGGTGAGAGATGCTCAGAGACTGGCACACGGGACCGGAAGCAGGACTAGGGGTGGGGGCATCCATAAGGGGGGGCCAGACATGCAGAAAGACCTGCAATAGGCAGTCAGGTAGGGAGAGTGGACTTAAGGAGATGGGGAAGCCGTGCAGAGATCAGGTAGGCAGGGAGCTATGATACGGAGGTCAGGCAGGCACCAGGCCCCTCTTGGAGGGTTTTGTGCCTACTTCTTGCAGAAGTCCTTGAAGCAGAGCCGCAATTTGTTGTGATGACGGAAGAGCTTGGGGTCTTCTGGGATCTCTGCTAAAAACACCTGGGCCACCTCCAGGGGACCCTGTGGGGTGAGAGGGACTGGTGAGCCAGGCTGCGTGGTGCCTGGAATCCCCCGTGGGGCCTGCATCCCCCTTCCGCCAGCCGTGCCTGGTTCACGGTGGGCCCCACGGAGCCCTGAAGCACCATCTGCAGCATCTTAGCATCTGGTGGGTCCTGCTCGGTGGCAAAGGCCAGCTCCCGTGTCTTCTTCTGCATGTCCTCAATGGCCACTTCCACCGGTGTCAGCACTGTCTGTGGGGTGAGGGGAGGGGCGTGCTCTTGCTGGGACTGAAGGTGTCCTGATGGAAGCCAGCTGGGGGCAGCTCACACCCCACTAGGAGCAAGAGGGGGTCCTGGAACCCAGGCAATGAACAGAACCTGGGGGGCTTCCTGGGTCTGATTCTGGGGGTTCCAGCCTTGGGTCTGCTGGATGCGTTGCCCTGGAGTCCAGGGGCTTGACATCTGGGGTCTCCAGACTTCCTTGGGTCTAGAGGTAGAGGTTAGAGCCTGGAAGTTGGAGTTTGGGGTCCCCAGCCTGGTTCTGGGGTACATGAGCCAATTTCTTGGTCTAGCGTATCCACATCCCTCCTCCCCGGATCTGGGATCCCTGGACTTCTCTTCCTGGGCCTTCTTAGATTTGGGGTCCCTGTGCCTCCCCTTTGTGGGTCTAGAACCCCTGGGTCTGGAGGTAGAGGTTTCAGTTTAGAGATTGGAATTCACAGTCCCCATATCTTCTCAGCCCAGTGCTGGGGTACCTGGGCCACTCCTCTCCTCCCTGGGCCTTCCTAGATCTGGGCCCCCTGAGCCTCCTCATTCTGGGTCTGGAATCCCTGGGGCTACCCTGGGTCTGAGGTCCCTGCATCCTGCCTCCCAGGTCCCCCTGGCTCTGATGTCTCCTCCCCTCCCCTCCCTGGGAATCTGGTCTAGGGTCGCTGTGCCACCCTTCTCTGGGTCTGAGATCCGTGGGCCACCTTGGGAATCGGTCCCTGTGTCTTCCCTCCCCGCCCCTCCCAGGGTCTGATGTCCCCCCACCTCCCCACCCTGGGCGCAAGGTCCCCACCCACCTCCTCACGGTGGCACACACGGATGCGAGTCTTGATGTAGGGGAAGGCGTGGTCGGTGCTGAGCAGCGTCTTACGCTTGTGCTGCTCTGGAAGCTCCCCGTGTGCGCGCCCGTCCGGTGTGAAGGGTGTGCAGAACAGGAACGTGCGAAGCCCATAGTTGCGGTCAAAGTAGGTCACCCGGTCTTTGAGCTCGTAGGTATCAAAGTACGGTTCCACGTATGTGATCTGGATATAGGCCTGCGCGCAGGGTCGGGGGTGAGGGTCCCACGTCCGCAGCATACACAGCGCAGACCCTGCTCCTGGAGAGGGGGTCTGAGCATCCCTGCATCTGGGGACTTTGGGATTTCTAGGTTGTCTTATGTCTGGATGTTTGGGAATCCCCTGAGGAATAGGTTTTGGGATCCCTCATGAAATATGATTGGGGTTTCCCAGAGAAAGAGGAGTTGAGGGTCCCTAGGAAATAGTACTTGGAGTCTCTGTGAATGTAGGGTTTTGGGGAAACAGTCGGGGGACCCACCTTCTGTGAGTCGAGCTTGGACTTGTCCACAGGGTTAGAGTCTTTGATAATTTCAACCACGTCATCACCAAATCTCTCCGTGTAGAACTCCTGGGGACACAGGACTGACTCGGGGCCACCAGGGGACAGCCCCTACTCCATCCCCAAGGTAGCCCCACACCCCATTCCACCCCCCACCACAAGGACGTGCCTCCAGCCGGTGTGAGATCTCTGCCAGCTTCGTGATCGATGGCTCCTTGTACACAAACTCCTGCTCATCCAGGTCACCGAAGCGGGCGCCGTAGAAGCCCACGCGGAAATATGTCCCAAACACGCGCTGGGGCTGTGAGAACGGGTGTGGTTGTCTGGGAGGCCCCTGCTGGAGGTCTCCCCGCCCCAGAGACAGGTCTCCTTGAGTATCAGGATGGGAGTGTGAGGACCCCAAGACCATCAGGGCTTGGGCACAGGCAGGGGACCCTTAACACATTGGGGCATGGATTGCAATATGAAATTAGGATTGAGGCTGTATTGCTCACAGATGTGTCCAGGGTATACAAAAGGTGCCCAATACATGCTTGGATGGCTGAGGGAAGGGATGGCTGTCTCCCACTCTGGGACCCAGGCTCTGACTCCTTTGTTCCAGTGCATTCCCCTTCCCTTCCCCTGATTTGCCCACAAGAATGGGTATACAGTAGGTGCTCAATAAATGCTTGAATGGCTTCGGGAAGGGATGGCTGTCTCTCACTCTGGGATGGGGGGTCTGACTCCTTTGTTCCAGCACATTCCCTTCCTTGCCCTGATTTGCCCACAAAACTGGGAATACAGTAGGTGTCCAATAAATACTTGAATGACTGAGGGATGGCTGCTTCTCACTCTGGGACAGGGGCTCTGGTTCCCTTGTTCCATGGTATTCCCCTCCTCCTGTCCCCAGCCCTAAGTTTGGAAGAAGGAACCCCCTCCCCGCCACCCCAAGAACACCGCCCTGTAACTGGAAAGCTAGCGGGATGGCTGCATGTTCACTTACCAAGGCAGATCCGGGGAGGGTGGTGCAGACATGGTGGGGCCAGAGGTGTGGGGAACAGAGAGACAATGTCATGGGAGAGGTCAGAGGTCAGAGTGCCCTCAACCCCCAGGGTCCCGGTTAACACTGCCCCGTAAGAATCACTCCATGGGGAGAGAGATCAGAGACCGGGGAGGGACAGGCCCTGCCCGCCCCACCCGGCTCCCACCCAGCATGCCTGCCTGTGCTCTGGGTGTCTGCCATCTTTGGCCAGAAAATTCTCCCCAAACTAGGAGATGCCTAAAAATAGACCTAAGCAGGCAAGAAGCAGGGTTGGGGTAGGGGTGGAGCGGGGGACACATTAACCAGAAATGGGGGAGGCTGGGAGGGACAGAGACCAAGAGACACAGAGATGGAGAGATAGCAAGATAGGGAAAGCCACGTGAGAGACCCGGAGAGATGAGAAAGAGATCATGAGGGAGTCAGAGCCACCCGCCACCCCCCTGCAGTGACCAAGCTGGCCCTGGCAGAGGGAGGGGTGTCTCTGGAGAGCTCCCAGCTGAGTGAGTCACAAGCTGCCCTCGAGATCTGGGGCGGGGGGGGCATTTTTGGGGAAGGGAGGGAAGTGATGGGGTGGGTGCGTCCTGGCCACTAAGCCCCAGCCCCAGCGGCCAGCGGCCATGCTCCTCTGGCGCCCCCTGGTGTTCACTGATGGCTGCTGGCCACTCATCATGGGGGTCCCAGAGGCAGGTGGCTGTCCACCCAGGTTGACTCACCTCCCAGCCGGAACTCTGTGGGGGAGAGAAGGGCCAAGGTCAGCAGCTCTGGGGATGAGGAGTGGGGCTGAGGGTGGGGACTGGGGGGCGGGCCTGGGTCCACCTGCTGCATGATCTTGGTGAAGGCTTCCTGCAGTTTGCCATGTACCACAGCCAGCCGCTTGTAGTCACGGTGGGCTTCCAGGATGGGGATAAGGTTCTTGTAGACCTCATTCACCGCCTCGTAGAGCCCGCCCTGAGGGTGCAGTGTGGTCAGGATTCTCCAAACTGTCTCTCCCTCTCCACTGTGCTCCTGTCTAGCCATCTCTTCCTTGATCTTCTGTGCTTCTACCCACCCTCCATCACCACCTCCAGGAAGCCCACCCTGACCACCCCCATCCCAGATGGTGGCTGAGCCTTTTCACTCAGCTCCTACAGAGGGCTCTATGGTCTTCACCACTTCTGTTTTTTGTTTTTTTTGAGATAGGGTCTCACTCCATCACCCAGGCTGGAGTGTAGTGGTGTGCTACGATCGTAGCTCATTGCAGCCTCCAACTCCTGGGCTCCAGAGATCTTTCCACCCTAGCCTCCTAAGTACCTGGAACTACAGGTACATGCCACCATGCCCAGCTACGTTTATTTTAGTTTTTATAGAGTCAGGTTGTCACTATATTGCCCCAGGTGGTCTGAACTCCTGGGCTCAAGTGATCCTCCTGCCTTGGCCTCTCAATTAGCTGCGATTACAGCCTTTCACCACTTTTTCAGAGACAGGGGTTCACCATATTGGTCAGGCTGGTCTTGAACTCCTGACCTTGTGATCTGCCTGCCTTGGCCTCCCAAAGTACTGGGATTACAGGTGTGAGCCACTGCACCCAGCCCCTTTGCCACTTTTAACAAGAATATTCTATGGGACAGGTATGATGTACATCTGCACTTCACCCTTCTGTGTTCCCTCATTGATGGGAGAAGCAGGTTTTTTTTTTTTCCCCCTATTCCTCAAAGAAGAAACTGAGTCTCAGACATATGGAGGCGTTCCTCAGGGCCAAGACCCAAACACTAGCCCATCTGGCCCTGGGCCCATGACCTCTATGCCCAACTACCTCTTGGCATGTGGTAATATGCCCCTCACCCCAGAGGGTGCTGGCATCAAGCCTGGCTCAAAACAGGTGCCCTGTGAGATTTGCTGACTGTCAGAAGGTCTGTGTCCACTCCCTGGCTTCTTCCGTGAGGCCTTTGTGTGGGCATGGCTTTATTTTTATTTATTTATTTATTTTTAATTTTAATTTAAATTTTTTTTAATTTTTATTTTTTTTAAGAGACAGGGTTTCATCATGTTGGTCAGGCTGCTCTCGAACTCCCGACCTCAGGTGATCCACCTGCCTCAGCCTCCCAAAGTGCTGGGATTACAGGCATGAGCCACGGCGCCCAGCTTTTTTGCTTATCATTTTTACAAACAGAGCAGGCCGTGGGCTTGGTGTTTGGTTAGAATATGATAAGGCTGAGAAGGTTCTTATTGCGTTCATCTTTGG